ATTTTTTCATAGTTGTGTAAATATTTACATATATCTGTGCGTACATATGTACTTCTGAAAATGATTTCATTTTCATTAAATTATAATTTCATTATAGAAATATGTGGCGTGTGAAACGAACTTCCAAAATCATTTCTACTAAAGTACGGGCATTTGTTTGCATTTAATCAAAAGACTTAAGCAACGAACTTGTAATGAACAAAAGTCACAAAAATAATATTATTATTTGTATATAATAGTAATGAGTAATGCTTATTGTTTACAACTCTGCGTTAATCGCCCTTGACCTCAATTGAGATCAATAAATTTCCATTTTTTTCACATAAAAAGAGGCTTTTAACAAAGGATTTTCCTTATTTCTTCATTGGATATACGCACTTTGTGCCTTATAACATTCGAAGATTTGAAAATCGTACAAAAACATAAATTAAATAAAAATAAAATAAAAATTATTTACTACAATTCAACAGATCAACTCAAAGTTACAAAATGTCTTCAATAGTATTTTTACTAATAATAAAACTATAGCGAAAATGTACTTGAGGGATCTATTAAGCAGATCTAAGCTCTTCGCCCTGTTATGGTCAGGCCTGAATTTGCTTGATATTTTACAAAGTCTGTATATCAGACCAGCTGTAGGATTTCTGTTTGAATTATTACAAGTAAGAAAACCAGTGCCAACGCTTCGTTTGCCATCCCCACAGGTTCTTGCCTTCGTCAAACGACAATATTTCTACACAGTGGGCCGTATGAATAAAAAATTAGCAATTGCTTTTTCTTAAAATTTCTAACACTTTACTCGATTTATTCAAACAAAATTGAAGTAAAAGGTATGCAATTTTAAGAAAAAGCAATTGCTTTGTTTTTATTAATTCGGCCCAGTATTCGATATAATTTGGCTTTCAAAGTCCCTTGGCTAGTGACAACGATAGTAATTTTTCTGGCTGTCTAGAACTTTCATTAACGTTAGAATCCATTGATTACAATTTCTTTGATGATTTCGGCGTGCATAAGTGATATGCGCTAATGATCCTCATTGTTTATCAAAAGCCCTTTTCGAGTCTTGCACAAGAAATTCTCAGAAGCTCCTTATAACCTCGGCAGAGAAACGCGGAGTACTGCTATCGCTATTGATCAATGTGATGATATGTAACTATATATATATCTAGGTATATATCAGTGACCATAAAAAGCGTTGTTATTGTTAACTTGTCTTACTTGGGCTATATCTTTTAAATTTATTGATCATAACAATTACATAAACTTGCGCAATTATCAAATTAAATATATGTATGTACTTGTACACATGAAACTTAGAAAACGAATTATTTAAACAAAAAAAAAATCCAATCACACTTCATTAATCAACAGCCACAAATAATTGAAGCAATTTGTCACAAATCTATACACCCATGAATGTCAAATCTCTATGTTAAATTAAAATTAATGACGAAATGACGTTCATACATTTGGGCGTGCATTTTTTACAAATGTATCATTAATTAATTTAATAATCGATTTAGCTCCGTCACTTGAGATTTAAACTCATTTATTGAGCTTGTGATTAGCGCACACATTTGCTGACAATTGAACTAGAAAAAGACAAATGAGTGGGCTTGGGTCAGGGATAAAGTTGCGCTTGTAGTTCTACTTTGAATACTAATCACTAAAATTTGCATTTGTAAAATTCACACAACAATAAAATGCACACGCTTGCCATGGCAGCAAGCATAAAATTGGCAAATGCAAATCCAAGACCATTTCCACAACATCCTAAACAGCCCTATTGTGTTTTCGTTCATTCCAAAAAATGTTACGCATTTCATAATTTTGTCGTTTTAAGCAACCATCTGATTTCCATGGCAGCAATCTTCAGCCTTTTTCGCCTTGCTAGAGTGTCGTAATTTTACAATCGAACACAAAAAGAGAAAGGGTCAATCAAAAAAGGCGAACTTTTCCGATAGAAACGAAAACACCATTAGTGGTTTAAAAGGGAGGGATTTTCCTTATAACTGAAATGAAATTTAATGAAATGAATAAAACAGTATGTGGAAGAAGTAGAGCTCTTGTTAGTCGACTAATCGGTTAGTCGATTAGCAAAAGTTGTTTCAAATAATAGTCGGTAAATAGCACATATTGGGTAAAGTTTTCAATGAATTTCTTAACAGCAATGTGAAAATTTTACCATATTATACTGCGTTAGTCGAAAATGAACGCTTAGTCGAATTCGAACGGTTAATCGATAAATTGCTATTCAACTATCAACCGACAAAAAAGTTGCTAATCGATTAGTTACTAACCGAATAAATAGCCGGAGCCAGAAAATTGTGATTTTTTTTTTAAGAAAAAAGTCTTGATTCAGGATAAATTCCTAAGCTACTGGGCTAATTGATAGGATTTATGCTTTTTAATATCGAATTTATGCTGCAGAATACCATAGAAGTAATTTCATTATGGAATTTAATATCTAATATTTTGAATTGAGTAGCATATGTATTTCGAAATTAAAGAAAATTTTCAAAAAAGAATAAGATGTTGTTGACCACTTTATATACAATCAATATTCAAAATTACTTTTCAAAATATTCGAATTTTTAAGCTTGAAAATTGATTTGAAATAAGATTCGATTAGATAATATGGGCACTTAAACTTATGATATTGGATTTCTAAGTAACACTGAAAATATGTTAAACTAATTTCCTATACAAGTTATACAAATTTTTATGTTTTAAAAATTTCCAGAAAAATTCTCTAAATTCAAATTTTTTATATATATTTTAATATCGATATTAAAACTTGAAGCGCTGAATAAAATTTTGAATATGTACATACATATGTATGTATATCGAGCTATAAGAAATTTATATTTTTTATTTAATTTTGTATTTTTTTTTTATGTAGAACTGCGTTTAGATAATCTAGCAGTATTTCTGCATCAAAAAAAGAAAATGGCTATGCTATTAGGTTTAGTATGGTAAAAAATATACAACTTTCCAACTTTTGCTTTCGACTGATTACCTATTTTGAAATACATACGTGTTTTATATAAATAAAAAGCACTATTTAAATTCTTTCTTAACAATTTTCTGTGTGTTCAAAATTTCTGTGTGTGAAATTCAAACTTTTTTTATAATTTGAAATATATTTTTCAATATATTTTTCAAATCCATTGACACATCTTTCGATATGCATATGTATATATATAAGTTTGAACTTTTTCATTGAAAATATGTAAAAAAATTGCCACCTAAATTACAAAATTTCTTATAACATGTATAAGACTTGCGCCAAAATATTTCGGAAAAATAGAAAGATCAACGTGATCGTACCTCCAAAAATCTAGATTTTTTACAACAAAAACTTTGCATTGAAAGATATTCTTATGCAACTTTTAAGCTCAAATTGATAAATCTTAATATTTTTTCGAGGTAGTTTAGCCGAAGTCTTATGGCCTCATTCATAAAAAATAAAGTAGCTTTATAAAAGGTTTACAAATTGAAAAATGCATGAAAACATCAATTTATAAAGCTCTCTAAACCTACTTTATTTTTTATGAATAAGGCCATTAAAATATAACAAATTTTATAATTCTGGTGGGAAAACAATACTGATTTTTTGTATAGAGAGCGGTGCACCCTAATAAAGAAACTAACATATGTATATATATCTCTTTTCTACGAAGTGTGTTTTAAATAAAAATAGCGTCCTCTTATTTTTAAACAGACTTTTATTTGGGAACAAAATTGTAATTTTTTTATTTCCAATTAGACAAGTAACTTATAAATATTATTTTTAAAGCTTTTAGATCAAAGCAAAAACAATGTTTTCGAATTTTTTAATTTAAGTTTGTAATTTTTTAATTTTAATTTTTGAAATTTTTTTTTTCAAATTTTTTAAATATATTTTTTTTATCAAAAATAATATTTTGGAAGAATTAATTACTATACGATTTTCAACCTTTAAATGGCCATTTTTTTCTTACAAATCTTAGCGAAATTCATAAAAAAGTATGAAGATGATGAATAGGTCTCAAAGGAAAAGTTTGATCTTGAAATAATTATTTATTTTTTTGTAAGAAACTAAAAAATATTGTCAAAATTAGCGCACGTAGCATTTTAAGTATTCTCGGCATTGGCTCGAAGGCCTGTAAGACCCCTTGTCCATTGCTATAGTTTAATACGTACTGATATAACAACCGCTGCTATTTTCCCCAACCTAACAAAAGACTTATGTCACGAACTTGAAATCAGCTGAAACACAGTCAAGCAATTGGCTCATCACCGTCCAATCACAATCGGCATATTATTTTTCAAACGCATAAATTAAAATTTTGCAATCCCTAAAAAAACAAAAATACAAAACTGCTTCCTTCATAAAACGAAAGACTTAAGGCACGAACTTGCTAAGTAACTATTGCTTCCAATCAGAGATTAGCGAGTGAGTGAAACTGAGAATTTCTTAACACTTCATAATAATTGCAAAATTTTAAAAAGTTGTTTTTAAACCTGCTTATGATTTTTTCAAGAGTTTGAAATTTTGGCAACAGCTTAATTTTGCATTTTTCACTTAATTTGATTTAAATCCTTTGGCATGCTAATGTTTATTTCTTCTTTTTTAATGTAATATTTTTTTAAATTTATTTTTTGTATCTTTGTTCTGCAAGAGTTCACCCTTCATCGTCGTCCATTACAGTCTTTATATGAAGTCAATATTATTACTGCACTTTCACACTGCCATTTTTAATGAGGTCCTTTTTAATTTCATGCCGGTTGTCATAATCAATAATAATTTTCTTCAGTTTTTCGTTTAATTTTTAACTCAAAACCCTTTGAGTTTAAAATTTTATTAGTAATTTCACTCGAATGTAATCCATTTTGTTTTGCAGCGCCACAATTTTTTTTTTTTTTTTTTTGTTTTTTCAAAGATAATTTTTCTTTTTTTTCTATTTTCGCAAATATATATCCTTTTCTTCGTTCGCGTTCACTTCCAATTCGCTTACCTTTGCTTCACTTAGCACTCTAAATGCTCTCTTCAATTATTAGAATTCACAATTTTCTAAAGTATGCGCTCGTGCCTGTGTACTCGACGACTATTACCGGATCTGGCACAACCAGACGCTGTAACTTGCAAACGAAAACAAAAGTCAAATGCGAGCTGCAAAGTGTTTTATAGCCACTTAGAGTGTCAGGGCGCGCAGCAAAGTGGATGTCGAAGCGTTAAACCAGTCAGTCAACGGCGACATCATGCCAGCGGCGTCTAACCAATAGCACCCATACCAGCAGGCGCGACAGCAACACAAATACATTGATACGTACATACGAGTGTATATATGTAGATACATTTGCAGCGAATTCTAAGTAGGTAATCAGTGTATTGATCGGCAGCTCTGCAACTGTAGTTGTGTGACTCCCTGCGGCTGTGGCGCTTCTTCAGCAGTGAGCAAGTGAGTGAGTGACTGCTGAGTGTAGGTAGGCGGCAAGGTGCTTCCCTGCAGGGAAAGCAACTAGCTGTGAACTAGAATTCAACCAGTTTACGTTACAGCCCAACTAGTTCACCTTCTATCCTTTTTCACGAGATATCGATTGTCAGGCTATGCATCAGCATCTACTAGTTGAAATGTTAGTAGCGTCATGCCAGTTGATGAGATAGTCTGTCAATTCATCCCCCGTGAAAAGCATAAGCATGCCTTTTTGCTCGCGGCGCCCCAAAAGTCGCAATGGACGACAGAGCAAAGTACTCGCGCGGAATACCTGAGGTCCCAGGTTCAAATCCTGGCGTAAAGAACATTTTTTTTATTTTATTTTTTTTTTATTCAGAGTTTTTATTGTAATTTTTTAGTTTAATTAAAAAGAAATATTTTTTTTATTTCTTTTTTTTTATGGCACAATCATTTCTTTCTATATGTATGCTTTTTCTGCATAGCAATTCGATTTTCAAATTGAAATAATTATTTCTACTTACATTGATTTAACTTTAAAAAGCTTAACCACCTCCAACGGCCTCGAACCTGTATGTAGTCTCTCAGAATCAGAGCCAGCAGTCTTCGCGTTACGCCACAGCCGTCATTTGTAGGAAAAGCAATTAATTGCGTTTCATTTTTGGCTTTGGCAATTCAAAGGCAGATGTCGCCGAACGCTTAGGTTCTTCGAAACTGTCGAACTGGTAGGCACATACTAGTTAATGAACTAGTATTTTTTCTAACTGTTGTGGCATTTCACTGCAGGGTTGTTGTGCATATGTATGTATGTGTGTTTTTGTGTATCATCATCGCTATTATTTCATCTCAATCGATAAGTGTGTGTTGTCACACTTGTTTGTTGCTTTTTTTTGTTGTTGATGTTGTAGTTATTGTTGCTGTTTCTCAAAAGCCTTTATTTTTTCTCAATGATTTTGTTTGAAACTTGCCGATTCCACAGTTGCATTGGGATGCATTTAGTCGCCATTGGTTCCGCTAGCTGACATTGCCGGTAATGGTGGTTGGTGTTGGCGTAGTGAAAATGCAAAGATCTGCTGCTTCGAAGAATTGTCAAAAAAATTAAAATTTAAATAGAAATAAGCGCTAAGAATTGTTGCAATCGCAGTATTCATCTACTTTTTACTTTAATCTTAACGCATGCATACAAAAGATTGTGCTATGTTGAACCCTGCCAAAACTGCTTAGGCGATTATAGCACCAAACGAGAAAAAGATGCCAAAAATTGTATATAAAATAAATTTAACTTCTGTTCTAGTCAAAAATTAGTGTAATTTTAGAAAATAACCAAAATTTAAGTCTAATGTAAGCAAATATTTTCATAAAGATTACGAGACCAGTAAGTACTCTACTATTAATTTTTTATGTTTTTATAAGCCCATAAGTAGCCAATTAATAATGTTCAAAAGCATATTTAGATAGTAAAACTAAATAGCATTGTTATTTACTCGTAGTATAGGCACATCGATGAGAAATTGAGTTAGATTTTTGGACAAGTCCTATCTAGTATTCTCATTAATAATAATCATAATACGCTATTAAACTTGAAGAACGTAAAATATTATTTTCGTAAGAATTTGCGGAAATCACAATCTAAGATAAAACATTTTTCTGGTTAGTAAACAAAATTTTATAGTGTTCTAGTGTTCGCGCAGTGGTTGAAATTCAACCACTAAAATGAAGGGGAGTTGAGTTTAGGAAAAGTGAAGTGAGTTCAGGTGAGCTGAGTTCAGTTATGTAAGTTAAGGTGAGTTCGAGTGAGTAGAGCTGTGGTGACATGAGTTGAAGTAACATAAGGTGAAATGAGGTGTAATAACATTAGTTAGTGTGAGTTTAATTGAGATGATTTGGTTGAGGTGAAAAGAGTTGAGATGAAATGAGGTGAGTCGTGGTGGGCTTAGAGCAACTGATGTGATGTTGGTTGAGGTGAGATGAGGGGGTTTTAGGTGATTTAAAGTGAGCTGTGCGGATTTGAGGTGAAATGCCTTGAACAACATAACACAACATAACATAATATAGCATAACATAAAATAACGCAACATAACATAGCATAACATAAAATCATAACATAACATAACATAAAGAAACATAACATAACATAACGTACCATAACACAACATAGGATATCATAAAATATCTCATTCAGCAGTTTTATCTTTATATTTTTCTTTGCCTCTATCTCGGATGCTTCACCATTTCTACTGCATTTGGTGAATTACAGCTGCGATAAGAAGTGTCCTTGCTGCATGGGTTTTCAGCGCCAGAGCCCTATTAAAACGGCAGTTAGTCGTTACAAATCCCTCCTCTTCAGTTTAATGAGATATGCGATTCGCTTAGCACAGTAGGTGGGTCAGAGACTACTACAGACCCTGCAGAATTGTATATCTTTCCGCCTAGTGGTAACCACCTCAGAGGCATAAGAATCTCTTCTGCCACTGAGATATCCAAAGCCGATTTTAGCTAGCTCGTCGGCCAACTCGTTGCTATGAAAGCTGCTGTGCCACGGAATTCAGATCTGTGCAACGACTTTCCTATCAGTTAAAGCCATAACGTAATCTCTGCATTGTTTTATTATGCGAAATACTCAATTCCCTCAACCGCAGGATACTCTGTGAAAAACTTTCTTCAATAAAGAGATCAATCGGTGGTATATGACAAATGGCAGTCAACGCTACCGTTGGACATGATTTCATCGCGTAGGCTGACCTTCGTAGCATACGGATATGACGGGAGCACGTTTTGTGTTGTTAAAGCAGGGCGAATTCATACTCAGTGGTAGCGGTAGTACAAAAACAAAAAAATACATGTATTTTGTTTTCGCTTTCGGTACACAAATGTCAAAATTTCGTCTTCGCTCATAAGAAATTTTGACATACATTTTGTACCGAGACGAATTAAATCAGCTGTTCTAGCAACACCACCTTATATGTATAAATTCGCCTTGGCTTAAAGTGCGCTTAAGAAAAAAAGTTTACTCATTAAATGGACGTATCTGTAATATTTACAATGGCTGTGTTCAATGCAATCTTCTCACTGAATACATTTTTTTTTTAATTTTTTTTCTCCCACAACCACTTAAAGTCTATTTGGCAGAAGTTTCAAAGAACAATAATTCGACTAAAATATAGAAAGCGTTTCAGAAATAAGAAATAGCATGTGAGCTTTAAAATCAATTCCAGAAGACATGGCATTAGATCCAAAAATATGTTTTCGGTATTTGCATTTGGTATTAATTCATCTCGGAAATAGCACTCTGTTATGTAAAATAAGAGCAACCAGACATCACTTTTTGATTTGGTTTCTGAAACATTGCGCTGCGTGCCAGCGTGCGCTGGAATGCAAGGTGGCTAAATCTTTGTGGCCACTTGTAGACCGGAGGCAGTCCAGGGAGCTCTTGTGACTAAGCAAGTTACACCTCTCGCTATTGATGTGAATTTTAACTGGTCGTTGCGTGATAAGTAAGCAAGCAGTAAGGCTGAATATCATCGATGACTCCAACTGCACCCGCCGCATGGGGGATGATGAGCTGAAATCATCTCAACACCTGCTGCACTGGTGCCCTACCTTTGCGAACCTAAGGCTCACGCACCTTCGGAAATAGATATCAGTCGCTTGGGAAGCTTCGTGGTGAGCATGGTGCGTTTTTCCTATTTTTTTGGGTTTTTTAGTTTTAATGATTATTTTAATTTTCTTATATAACCCACCAATTAATAATTAATTATAATTAAAAATTATCAAAAAAATCATGACTAATGGCAATTAAAAAAATAACCAAAAATAATCAAATTTAATCAAATTTTTTTTTTTTTAATTTTTTTAATAATTTTAATTATTTGATTATTTATAATTGTTCGATTATTTTTAATTATTTGAATGTTTTTAATTATTTGATTATTTCTAGTTAAATAATTACTTTTAATTATTTTTCGAAATAGAAAAAGCTGTGTTTGGCAGGCAAATTTTTATAAGTTAGTATTAAATAACTGAAACCAAATTAACTCTACGAGTAAATATTTGTACTGTAGTTTACAAGTAAATAATGATTTCTTACAGACATTGTAAACTATCTTTGCTATTCATTAATACTTTCAGAAAGAATTTTGTAGAGGACCCATTCGAACGGATCTTACATATAGACATAGGTATGCATGTTGACCGCGTTTTTGTTATTCTGCTTGTGCATTTATCTTATGTTACTGTATTATTTCTCATCATATGTATATTAATGCGCTGTAATGTATTATTTACAAGTTGAAAATATTTAAAAATAATCAAAAAATTATATTAATCACGCAATTAAAATAAATCAAAAATAAGTGAAAATAATTAAATAGTTATATTAATCGTGTAATAAAAAAAGTTCAAAAATAATCGAAAATAATAAAATAATTATGTAATTAAAATTCATTATTTAATTAAAGTAAATTAAAGTAATTAATTATTAATCATTAAAAAGGTGAAAATAATGGTATTTAATCATTAAATGGTTACCCAAAAAAAAAAAACACTCTTTAATTAATAATCATTATGATTATTAATCATTATTTAACAGGTCTGACTTAACCTAACCTAAGCTAAAGAAAGAAATTAATCTTTATTAACAAAGTATCACGTTACTAGATCCAATTTGATTTATCACATGATTTCATCGTTGGCTTAATCACTGATTAATCAGTAATATTAAT